TTGCATAAGACGCCCTTCAATTTTTAGCGTAAGGATTTTAGAAAAAAGTATCGTCTTATAGATGGAAAAATATGGTAGTTTTAACCCTCTTTGTACACTGCTTTCAGTTGCTTTGTGATTGGGTGGCCTTAAAAATTGAAAGAAACAAATGATTTAGTTCCAAGTTTTTTTTAAAAAATCCATGCACAATTATAAGCACATTTGAAAAAAGAGTTATTTTATCATCAACATTACAATTCCATCAGATTATTAAGAAAAAATTCAATTCACTTGTTCTGAAATGTGCACTGATGTTAATTCTATGTTAAGTCTGAACTTAATGATTATAAGAGATAACTTAAAGAGAACCATCCCAAAATGTGGTTGATTGGCTTGTGGCTTAGTGCATCTGGAGAATCCAGCCAGTGTGATTAGTTGTCTCTTGTACAAAACTTGTACAATGCAACACTAATACCCTAGTACACAACTAGCATGAGAGTAAATACAAGTGTCTTGTTCAATTAATCCTAAATTAGCATATTGTGTGAACACAGACAATATATTCTACTATTTCCAAGTTAAATAATTTGGAACAAATCTGGAAATTATTACTTATTTTAAGAGTACTGTGAAATATTACACTGAAAAGTCAGCATATTTTTTAATATTGCTCTGCTTCAACATTACCTGGGTAGCCACCAATTTATGCCATTTCCTGTGACACTATCAGGTGTTACTCTGAATTGTTATTTGCATCCAAGCAGACATTACTATTGAAATAACAGTACAGTAGTGGTAGGCCTTTAGTTATACATTTTATTAATATCACATTTCTACTTTATGGTCAATTCACTGTCTCACATTTAATGCAGAAAACGAGGGCAAGGCGTTTACGTCCTGTGCTGCCGGATTCAATCTAGTTAACTTTTTGTTCGATGGACACAAGGATTCAGAATGAACAGGACTGTACTCTTCCAGCTTGCACACGAATGCAAAAAACTAAATTTCGCGTAGCTTAGTACGGCTTTTTCCCAAGGTGGCTATATAAAAATATACGAAAATGCAGTTTGAGGTCGACGTTAGATAAAAAAAAATGGGGGGGGGGAATCCCAGTTCGACATCAGGTCCTCGTTTGAAGACCAGTTCGCGCTTCCGACGAACTCATCGGGCAATGCCCGTCGGTCCCGCGGAGCCGTCTGGAAGCAGTGAGAGGCGGAGAAGGAAGGGGCAGGGCGAAGGGACAGCGTCGAGGAAGGCCAGCCGGAGAGGCACGAGCGTCTGGTTGCCACCCGAGCACCCCGCGATGGTCTTAGTGGTGGTCATGGGCGTGAGCGGCTCCGGGAAGTAAGCGCGGCTCCCGCGGGGCTGGAGAGACGGGGGACTGGGGGCCACCCGCAGGCGCGGAAGAGCAATGCGCGGCCGGAAGTACCAAAAAAGCCGCGCTGCCTTGTCACCGGCAAGGGAGGGAAGTTTGCTTTCTGCAGCTGCGGTCCTCGTTGCAACTGCGGGGAGCCTTTCCCCGCCTGTTGTGAGGAGAGCCGGCAGGGCGCGTGGGAGGCTCCTCTGGCGTTTGGAAGCCCCCCTGGGGACGGGCACAGGCTTGGAGAGGAGCTGGAGCGGCCCCGGCTGGTCCTGGCCTGCGTTAAAAAGGCAGCGCAGGAGGCTTTTGTGGGCGGCGAATCGAAATCTCCAATATACTCGGACACCAAGGTGGGAGGGCGGAAGATGGTGATGGTGCATCTTGGTAAAAATGAGGACACACGCACCCACTCTAGCATTCTCTTTCCTCATAGTATTGTTGGGGAATCTGCTGATGTTATAATGTAATTTTGTGTTGCATGAAGAAACTACTATGGGTGTGTTCACCACCCACACTACCAAATATTACATTTAAAGAGTGGCTGAATGTTCTTGCTCAAATTCTGTGTTAAAGTTCTGTTTAACTGAAGTAATTATATTATATATGATTACTGTCTAAGTATGACTGATTGTTGCTTTGGGATTCTTCAGAATAGAGATGGCCAAATAGTTGTCAAAGAATAGAGCAGAGCACTGTAGGAAACAATATAAACTTGCAAGGAATTGAGATTTGCTCCTTCAACAAAGTTAAAGATTGTTGTAGTCATCTCTAGCTATTACACTTTATGTTCTTATCATATATATATATATATATATGATAAGAACATAAAGTGTAATAGCTAGAGAATATATATATATATATGATAAGAACATAAAGTGTAATAGCTAGAGATCACCTTGAAAAGAGCCTGCTAGGTACCTAGATTTCACACTTTCAGAGATATGATGGAAGGTGATTGATTGATTGATTGATATATATATATATATATATCAATCAATCAATCAATCAATCAATCACCTTCCATCATATCTCTGAAAGTGTGAAATCTAGGTACCTAGCAGGCTCTTTTCAAGGTGACTGGGTCAGGTGTTCCAAAGATGTAATCATGGCCTTTTCCATCTGGTTATTGGTCAGCAGCCAGTATCTAGAAAGTGATTACAAATTTAACTATATACAGTTCACAATAAAGATAATCTCTACACCAGTTTTTCATATACGAAATGTTTGCCAAATCCAGTCAGAAATAATTCTTAAGTATGATTTGGATTAAAATGTCAGCTGTGGAGGTATGTGTTGCTGATTATCAACTTTTAACAATTACGTCCATAATTGCTTTTTAAATTGTTGTATTTATACCCCATCATCATACATGGTATCTTCTGTGGCATTATCTCCACAACAGACCTGTAAGATAAATAAGACTGAGAACTGGTTCAAACTTCATACTAAGCTATAAAGTATGTGTTCTGTTGCCAGGGGCAGGGAAATCTTACTCTCTTCCACAATTCTCATTTCTATCTCCTCTATTGTTCCAGAGGATCTTCCAAACCTTGTTTTTCAGGAAACATAAAGTGTTGCAGGGAAGAGGGAATCAGCAAAACATGATTCAGTAGAGCTGTATATCTGTTCTTTGTTCTTGGAAATACTTGAAACAGTGAACAATTCCCATCTCACCTTCCTATCCATATAATCTGAGGAAGCTTTTATTGCCATTATTGTTATACTATATTAGGAACTAGGACTTCATTATGACTGGGCTGTTCAGGAACAAGTCTCTCTAATTCAGATTTAATCTCTGCCACAAACTTTCCCAGATTATCTTAATTAAGCAAGGTATTTGTAGCCTTTGCTTCCATTGCAGAATGAAAATATATTACTGATCTTTCTTGCAGGGCTAATTTATATTAAGTGCTTTAAAACAACCTTTATAAATGTCAAGTACTATCATTCACTTCACACTACTGTGTTCTTGAGCAATTTCTGTCCTCTAGGAAAGGGTGGCTTGTTCTGGAAGTCCATTAGGTGGCAGCAAATAGTTGGAATTTGCAGTGTCTCTTTGCTATAGGGAATGTTGGAATTCCAGCTCTAATTTTGGACACAGTTCCTCACAACAAATCAGCCATAACAAATCTATCTTGATGTAACTTAACAATAAGCATATTGTCACAAACCCAGTAGTTAATCTAAGCTTTACAAATTAATGATGCTTTTATTCTGGGAGACATGGTTTGCGTTTTGGTCACATATTCTTGGGAACATATTTTCAGGAGAACATGCATTGAACTGAGGGCAAGTCTGTATTTGAAGTGTTTATTAAAGAACCAAAATGAGTCAGACATGGGACAATGAATACCCAAGTTTACTGTGTAGATTCAGGCCTATCATTCTGTTCAGTTTAACTAAAAATACAAGATCTCATTAGTTTCTGCCTTCATGCGGGTGAGAACTCTGTCACTGTTCCGGCTAGGAATTGACATTCTACCTTTTCTTCCAGAAAAAGGAAGTACCTATGTATTTAAAGAAAGGATGAACATTTTTTTTCCTATTAAAAAAACACTTAGGAATAATGTTTAGATAGCAGTTTGGTGAAGCTTATTCCATGGCTTTGGGAAGTGAGTTTACCCATCCCAGTGAATTGAGGTGGACAATCTTTTTCTGTCTTAGGGCTGAACTTTTTTATGACATCTTTGAGGGATAGCCACTTGGAAATCATGAATGGCAACTACTGGAATGGCCGAGGCCAACATTTTAGCCCCCCCCTTTTTTTATTCATATGGGTCAGTTAAGAAACAAAATGGGTGCATTTTTTCTGTTTCCTAAATCTCACCGGATGGAAATATTAGTCCAATTTTAGGGGTTTAAGGCACTGATTTTTCCTGTTAAAACTTTCTAGCTCTTCCCACCATGAATAAATGATTCCAAAACTTCATCCCTGTCCACCTTGGGGATGTTCTAGTGGCCACAAACCCCTGATTAAGATATGATGTGTTTTAAAAGACTGGATTCATGCAAGATGCTAAATCAAACCAAACAAGCTTAGCATGATGTGTGAATCCAGACTTAATGTTATCTTCTTTGGATGTAATTTTTATACTTACTTGTTTTGTTTTACAGATCCACAGTGGGCTCGCTTCTGGCAGATAAGGTAGTTCATACATTATTTGCATAACTGTTAATTGTCTATTCATTATTTCTTACAAGTACTTTTTAAAGGTATAAAATAGCTGTAATAGCTTAGTGAAATCATAAGATCTAAATGTGAAGTTCTTAGAGTGTTGGAGTACAGTTCTTTATCATTCACCACACTGCTTATACATTCAAAAGTAGCCTTGATTTTGTACCCATCCTGATGTAGGTTTGCCTTGACATGCATAGGCAAAAAAGATGACACATCCCATGAATTATGTTTCTTTTGGAGTTGCAGACAACAGAACTGCAGCCTAGGTTGATTTTCCATGTCTTTTAGGTCCCAGCAGCCATAGCAAATCATCTTGGTAACAAAATGACAATATACGTGTAATTGTATAATCATGTAAATACTGTACTTACATATGTGCATCAGGATGTCTGACACAACTATATCATTTGTGTGGTTATATCATCACACGTAATATCTTTTGCTCCCCTCCCACAGACGCCCATGTGGGAAATTGGTCTTAATTCTTATAATTCCCAGTCAGCAGACAGTCATGTTGATTGGGAAATTATAGGAATTAGTCCCAATCAACTGGAGGGCACAAGGTTGAAGAAGGCAATCTCACCTGAAGTCCCTGAGTCAAGAAAGAATATTGGCATAAAATGCAGTTTATATACATATTTCAAGTGAGGATACAATCTATTAGATACTATTTATTTCCTGAATTTGCAGTCCTTTCATTTATATGGAAATCTGTTGTATTATCAGTGTGAATCATATATGATATTTGATTGCTATAACAATTGTCTTTGCTATGAAAGTATATTCTATTTTTATTAAAACTAAATAAAATCCATCATTATTTAGCTAGGCTGGAAATTCTATGATGCTGATGACTGTCATCCAGAGCAGAACAGAAGGAAAATGGCAGAAGGAATACCTCTAAATGACCAGGTATTGTACATAGTCTTGAGGCCACTTTCATCTCATAAAGTTATTAATGATGGAGTTGGAGAAACTTTATTGGCGCAAAACCTGAATGATCTCTGGAAGATATCAGCTCAGTGAATTAAATGCCGTCCTTCAAAGCTATGTCATTTGATGTCTCTGTCTCCATGGAGAAACAGTCCTTTTCTTCTTGCACAGCATTATATGGAATAGTCATAGATGATCTGGCTGTAATTCAGCTGGCCTTGGGAGGAGTCTCTTCATCCAGATTCTCACAGACTGATAACTGTGTAGTCATTCCTTTGTTCCCCAATACACCAGATTGCCTTTTAACTTTAAAAGCAGCCTAATGGCAAAACAGATGCAGACCTTATGTTCAGACAGTCCTAGTAGAGTGCTATAGAGCCCTGACTTCCCCCAGGTCTGTGCACTTACACAGTGACGTTAGGGAGAACACGAATTCTGTATCTGCTTCCCACATCCTCTAATTTTTATCCATTTGAGCTGCAAATTATTGTGGCTTCAGTGGATTACACTCAGCATTTTATGTCAGTTAAATTAGCTTGCTGAATGCCTAGTTATATTTAAATAGGTAGGCAACAAGGTGGAGGGAATTTAACATGCTTTAGCTCTTTAACTAAAATCAATAGGATTATTCATGTTTTGGTCAAAACTAAGCCTCACTTTATTCATTGGAGTTTGCTCCATAAAAGTGCATATAATACTGCAGTCTGATTTGGGTTGGATATGAATGAACTTTTCTGCAGGATAAAGAAGTAAATGGCTTTTAAAGTTATTTTTCAATAGTGCTATGATGATGCAATAACTTTTTTGTATTAAATCTAGCCATAATGGAACAGTAAAGACCAAGACACATTTTACACTTATGTACAATTATTAAGGCAATGCTTTGGTTTTCTAAGGCTGGGTTCATACGTCGTCCTTATTTTGGTTCAGTTCTTTTTAAGCCAAAGGGACAACTCTGCTAAAAATGGTCTGTGATTTGCTCTTTGCTGGAGAACAGTGTCAAATTTCCATTTAAGACAGTTTTATTCTGTCTTATATATAACATCTGGAATAAAGATAAAATTTTGGCCTCAGCATATGGAATGAACCAGGGGATAAATTAATGTTTTGCCAAGAATTTACATTTGTATAGCAAATGCCCTCTTCCAGCAACCAGAAATGTTGTTTTTACATAGAGCATCACCAAGCAGACAACAGTAAAATCAAATTGACGCCATACCAAAGATGGAGGAGCACAACTCAGTCAGGAAAGTAAGACTGGTGCTGACTGAATTCTTGCAAAATTACAACTTATCTACAGAAAATAAATAAAATCAAACCAGCTAGGTACAACCTTAGCAATACTCCATATGATTATGTGTTAAAGATAAAGTATAGACTTAATGGATTTCATTTGATAGAATGCTTGAAGAAATCTTTGACATCATTAAAAACAAAAATACCCCAAAATGCAGAAGGGAAAACGAGAAATGACTGTCTGCTAACATGTTAGCTGAAAAACAGTGGGAAGCAAAGGGAAACAGAGAAGCAAATTTGTTCAACTAAATGTGTGTTCCAGAGAAGGGCAGTAAGCTCCAAATGAGCAATGCAAAGAAATTGAGGAAAAAAGACACCCGAGAAAATGACTGAAATCAGGAAAAAAATTATGCCAAGATATGCATGAAAAAAGCAAAGATTTATTAGCAAAAGAAGATATAAAGATGGTGTGAAGATAATAAACTGTATAAAAATCCCAGTATTGATAATAAGTACAAAGATTTAATTACTCAACAAAACATTCAGGAGTATGAACTTAAATGGACTCAGAAAATATTGTTAATGCATTGTTAATGGTTGCAAGAACTGACAAAATACCAGCAGAACTATTTAAACTCTTAATATGCAGTTAATGTATTGCTTGGAGTTATAAGAAAATATGGAAGATACAGCATTGGCCATGGGAGTGGAAACAATTTGTTTATGTTTCAATATCAAAAGAGGCAGTGCTGGAGAATGTCCAAACTACTAAACATTTGCACCTATCTCACATGCTAATAAGCCAGCAGTCAAGACTTTGTAATCTGAATTTCAGCAATGCATGGAATGAGAACTGCAAGATACAGACATTGGTTTTAGAAAAGGCAGGGGCACCTGAGGTCGTATTGCTAACATCCAGTGGATAATAAAAAAGACACATGAGTTCCAAAAATACATCTGTTTTTACTTTATTATTTTAAGGCTTTTCACTGGGTAGACCAGAACAAATTGTAGATAGCTGTTGAAAACATGGGTGTACTAGACCACATCATCTGCTTATTGAAGAAATTGTATGATGACCAAGAAGGAAGAGTTAGATGGTGTATGGAGCAATTATATAAATAGTTCAAAATTGGGACAGAAGTGCACCATGGTTTATACTCTTATTTTATTTAATATATATAGTCTATCATAATGCTGGACTAAGAAATAGAAATTGGAATTGAAATTGTTGGGAAAAACAAACTGTTACAGAATGTTGATGATAGCACTTTGATGGCTGGGACTGATGAATACTTTAAAAAGCTTGCTGAAGATGAAAGAAGAGAGTGCAAAAGCCAGTTTGCTGCTCAGTTTTTTTTAAAGACACCCTTATGTTTGTCAATAGGCAATACCAATCCCATGGAAATAGACAAAAAAGCTGAAGTAAAAACAGACTTTATTTTCCTAGGCTTGAAGATTCACAGGGATATGACCATAGCCATGAAATAAAGGGACTTCTGCTTGGAAGAAAAACTGTGACAGATCTAGCAAAACATTAAAGTGCAGAGCCATGATGTTAACAACAAAGCTATGTATTGTCAAAGATATGATTTTCAAAGTTTTAACATGCTGCTAAGAAAGCTGTACCTTCAAAAAGGCTAAAGAAGAAAGACTGATACTCTTCTAATTACAATGCTGGAGAAAATTAAGAGTGCTTGGATCACAAGAATAAGAAATAATACTAGATGAAGTAAAAGCAGATTAATTCACTGGGAGCACTAAATGATGAAACTAAAGCTTAAATATATTGAACACGTCATGCAAAGCCAAGCGTCCTCAGAAAAGAACTTGATTCTTGGAAAAACTGAAGGCAATTGAAAAGGAGGCCAGTAGGAGACAAGGTGGCTAGATACTATTATGGTGACATAAGTGTGAGCCTATAAAAACTCAAAAAAGCAGTTATTGACAGACTGACCTTACCAATGATGTTGACTAGTTATGAAGAGTCAGGACTGAACAAATTATCAATGTCTACATTTGCAAGAGAAAGAGAAAGGCAGGCTCCAACTGCATCACTGCAATTTGTCAACTAGTTGTTATACTAGTGACTAATTCTTAGGGATGAATGAAATCAGTGAAACAGCTGTCCCACTTTTATCATACAAAATGTGCTCAGTACTGTATAACGTTTATATAGCTGAATTGATGCTCCCCCTCCCCCAAAAGATCAAGAGCTATGAACTACTTCCACCTTCCAACACTGGTAGACTTCAAAGTTGTCATTTATAAAAATTGTCTAATACCATGTAAGTGAAAATGTGATGCTTTAATATGCAATTATGAAATCAATGAGATAAAGCTTAATTGGATTATACCAATGAATTTATTAATCATTTTGACTGTATTTGCCTCACTCATGTGAGTCACATGAGATAGCAGGCAGAAAGTACTTCTGCCATAAGAAAGAGCCATATGTTGAAGCTGATACGTAATTTTCATTAGTATGATGCTCTGACATACTTAAAATTTGTAACAGAAAATATTAGAACTGCAAGCTTTTGCAAATGCTACAGCTTATTTCAGGTGAAATTGCATCATTTGCCTAAACTGGCCTGTCTTGTTTTTTTAGGATAGGATACCATGGCTTTGCCACCTACATGCTATATTAATGAGGTAAGAGAATATGTTCCCATTGTAATGTGAAATTGGTTTCAAATGGATTCTGTTGTTGAGGATGCAATTCATCTCTCCTTGGAGTCTTGAGTTTGGTGAACAACTTCAAAAATCCCAGCCCTAAATCTAAGCATAAAATGCTAAGCATGAAGTATAAACAATTTCTGGGACATGCCTTGGAATAAAGTAAGATATCCCATAGGGAAAGAGATTTCCTAAATCCCTTGAGTAGCACTGTTTCTCCATGACTGTCAGTAGCAAAATATTTGCACACTTCTATAGTATCAAGGTTTGCCATACATTGATTTTTAATAGAGGTAACCTGTTAATAATAAAAGTGTCCTGTTAGCAATGGGAGATTTCAGTGTTAGATTAGAATTTGTTGAACACTGATAATAAGGGATGAACTACAACACAGTGTTCCTGGAATGTACCAGTTGATTAAGTAAGTGGGGGAATTATGTGGCTCATTGCAGATGCAGACTAAATAATTAAATAAACTAGTGAATTGGGAACAAGGACATCAGTCAAAATGCCTTTGTTCTGGCAGTTTTCTACACACATTTTGTGTGGGAGAATTTCAGAGATACCTCAGACAATATTTTGATAATTGTCTGAATGCATAATCCCAGTTCTAAAAAAGTTAAATGACTTTTTTCTAACATATAATGTAATATAATTATAATATAATGTAATATAGATATTGTCAAATTCTAATCTTTACAGAGAACATATGTCTGGACAAAATGCCATTTTAGCTTGCTCAGCTCTGAAGAAAATGTATCGATGCATTTTGGAGAATGGAGAGACTAATTGTCAGAGTTTGAACAATCAGCAAGAAGAAAAGAAGTCCGCTCCACAAAAGATCCTTTTCGTCCACTTGGCAGGATCAATGGACCTAATTGCTAGTCGTCTAGGAAAAAGAAAGGGACATTTTATGCCACCTACTCTACTACAATCTCAGTTTGATACTCTTGAACCTCCACTCGCACCAGAAAACTTTATCACTGTTGGTTTGGAAAAGCCTATTTTAGAAATAGTATCTGACATTGAAAGACATATTAGAAGTTTGTATTGATGTTTCTCCAGGTGGTGGTGTTCTGAGGCCTGATAACTTCAAATAAATTTTGCCATCTCTAACATAATTTATCCTCCTTATTAAGAACAAACTTATGCTTTATTTACTATACTTGTGGCATGAACAGAAAATTAAGCCTTAGTTTTTGGTTTATTCTTTATCCTATATCTAATTTAAGCAATTTTCAGAACATAATATTGACATTTATTATAAAAACTGCAGTTGAAGTTTGAGGTAAAACAGATGCTTGCTGAGCAATCATACTTCATTCATGCTTGCTGAGTGAGAGAAGACTACTGCTGTATTTTGGCAAAGCAACGTATCAGAAAAAGGCATAGTGGTATCCTTGAGTCAGCTGGAAACAACTACTATTATAACTTTATCGTGGTTGAATGCTGCCAAAAAAGGAGAAGAATTGGAATATTGAAAGGAGCAGTACTGTTTATTCTAGGGTTGTTGATGCAAAATCCTGCTCTATCCATCCAGAATAGGCATATTCTTTGCTACTGGGGTCTGCATTTTAATTTATATTCAAAGGCAAAATCATAACATTAAAAGTCACATTTTGTCACCTTATTTTACTTCAAATTATATAGCCACCCATCTCATCATGATGACTCTGGCAGGCTAACAGTGGTTAAAATCCAACATCATAAACACCACAATAAATACATAATTGGCATCTGAGATAAAATCCCCTCAACATAACCACCTCACAGACTCTGCCACGCATTCTGAGCCCCAAGCCCAGACTCTTAGCCATCTCTTCAAAGCCTTACCAAAGGCCAACTGGGTTGGGGCTAATCTGATCTCCAAGGGGATGATGTTCCAAACAGCAGACACCACAACCAAAAAGGCCCTCTTCCTTGGTCATGCCAGTTGGCACTCATTAACTGAGGGTCTTGTAGCATGAAGCAGCATAGTCAATTGAACCCAGAAGCATCCTGGCAACCAATGCCATTCCGTAAGCAGAGGCATAGGATACATAGACTGAGGAGCACTCATAATTGTCTGCTGCTGCATTTTAAACCAGCTGCTCTTTAAGGGCAGCCCCATGTGAAGCTCACTGAAGTAATCCATTTGGGAGCTGACTAAAGGATGAGTGACAGTGAGCAAGCTTCTTGGTCCAGGAAATGGGTGCAGTTGGTGCATATCATGAAGCTGTGCAAAAGCCCTTCTGGCTACAGCTGCCACCTGCTTTTGAACAGGAAACCACAAATCAAGGACCCTCAAATTGCACACTGGTTCCATTTGGGGTAGTACAAACCCATCCAGAACAGGTGATGGAAAGTCCCTAGAACCTGGAGGCGATAAAACCTAGAGGCAGTCAGTCTTGCTAGTGTAGAGGAAAGAGGGAATGGCCTTGAGGGACAGGAGGAAGAGCCACTACCCAGAAAAAAAAGTAAAAACAACTGAGTCCAGAGCAGGAATGTAACCTGAGTAAACATCTCAGACAAGACCCTCCCTTGTTCTCATAAAGATAAAGCAAGGGGGAAGTACATTTAGACTGCAAGATTCTGTCACTATAGCTTTACAGTAAAAGTAGTACTGACCTACATGGTATTGGATTCCTAGTCTGATCTACCTTGATGGGCTGACAAGGTTGGGTTCTTCCCTATTCAAACCCCCACAGCCTCTAGCACTGGGAAAACATCCATGGCATCACTTGGTTGGCCAGGAGTAGAGACATAAAGCCAGATATCATCAGCATATTTCACCCCATGCCGGCAGATGACCTTACTCAGTAGCTTCATTTAAATGTTAAACTGGAGTGGAGAGAGTACTGAGCCATGTAGAACCCAGCAAAGCAGGAGCTGTGGCCTGGACCTCTCCCCACTATCAACACCATCTGGAACCAGCCCCAGAGGAAGGAGGTGAACCATCATAACACTGGGCTCCCCACCCCCAACCCACAAAGTTGATCCAGAAGGCTACCATGATTAATTGTACTGAAAGCCACTGAGATGTCAAGAAGAGCTAGGATGGGTACAATCCTGCTGCTGCCAGAGGTCATCTACAAGCACAATTAATGCAGTTTTGGTGCGTGGCCCAGGACTCAGATTACTCTGAAGCTGCTCCAGCTGAATCAGTGGAACATCAGCCTCAGAAGACACCAAGCCAGTAATTACCTGAGGCTGATCAAACACAGGCACCATCAGAACAGCTGGGACAGTCAGATTATGAGGTACAGCCTCCAAGCCTTTAGACTTGGCAAGTAGAACTGAGCAGAGCAAAGACACTGAATGAAGCTTCTTGCCAAATAAGGGAGTAACTATCCTAATTAAAGACAACTGGCTGCAGCCTGATTTAAGAGGCAGCCCTGACCACCTTTCCCTTGGAAACAACTATCTGATTTGCTCTGGTATGTTGTTCTTGTGAATTCTGCCCTGAAACTCTGACCTTTGGACTGGCTGACAAACCTGACTTGGCTCTCTGAACTTCGAACTGGATTTTGACTTCTCTTCTGTTTCTGTTGAATGCAAAACTCCCATGCAAGCTTTCTTTCACAGAGACTGTTTTGATTTACATTCCTTTCCTTGTCTGCCATTTATCTACTCAGCTTTGAGTAAACTGCTATTCTCATCTAGCAGCTTTTGGTGTGAGTTTGAAACCTAAAACAGGACAGCCTGAATCCAACTGAAAGAGGTCCAGATAATCTGCTTTTTCCAGAATTCTCTGGAGCTGCTGTGCAACCATATTCTCCACAAGCTTCCCTAAAAAGGGAAGGTTGGATACTGGATGAAAGATGTGCAGCAGGGTTGGGTCTAGTGATAGCATACTGAGGAGTTGATCCAGTGAACCACTCTCTTTTTAAGAGACAATCGCACCATCCCCTCTCTCAAACAATTCACCATTGCCAGAACCCAACCACGTCACCTCTCAAGACATGGATCTGGTATACAGGTGGTTGAGCTAGGTAGTTCTTGGTTAACGTCCATTTGTTCAGCGACCATTTGAAGTTAAAAAGGCACTGAATGACGAAACCTATGGCTGGCCCTTGAAGTTGTGGCTGTTGCAGTGTCCCGCGGTCACATGATCGCTGTTTGCAACCTTCACTGCCAGCTTCTGACAGGCAGTCAATGGGGAAACTGGCAGGAAGTCGCAAATGGTGTTCATGGGACATTGTGCCTAATGACTACAACTGGAACTGATGGGACTGCCATCGTAAATTGGTGTGGTCACATGACATTGTGCTTTATGACCACGTTGCTTTGTGATGGAATTCCTGATCCCAATTACCGTTGTTAACCGAGAACTACTAGTAATCCCAAGTACTCTATCCACTTTATCACATCTAATAGGTTCAAACTCCTCCCAGGTAACCAGTCCAGATTGAGCCTCAGTCACCTCCATAGGACCTGCTTCACAGACAAAGTCCAACTTGGAACAAAATCCAAGTGACTTTATCCAACAGATGCCTAGTGTATTCCTCACAGCAACCTTGCAGATGAATCTCCAAGCCAGCCCTCCTAAGAAGGCCCTGGGTTATCCAAAACTACCTTTAACAAACCCACTGGATGATTATCTGGGGATGTAGTAATGGCAAAGAAATACTGACATTTCACCACCCTTATCATCATGGTAAATAACTGAATTATGATCCACAGACTAGGAGCCACATTGTGATGGTGTCTAGTTTTTAAAAAAATTCTGGCTGAGCCACCAAAACTTGAGACACTTTTGTCTTATTCAATGCTTGCTTACTACAATAATAGAACATCACAGCCAGAAAAATATATTGCAAGTCAAAACATCTACATATTTTAATACATTAGTGAATTTGTGCTTATTACTTCCACCAGAAAATTTGTTGCTCAAAATAATGGCCCACAGCAAGTGTCATAGCTGTGACTTTAATAAAGAGTAACAGGAGCTCAGGAGACTGGAAATACCAGTTATTATGTGTTGTTTTGAAAAAAAGGAACAGGTTATGTAGATATGGCTAAAAGGGAAAAGGCGGCACTATGTTAACTGAGCCAAGTCAAAGTTTGTTGCTCACATATATTCAGTAATCCAGAACTAGAAAGCTTTGATCTTAATTCCACTGATGGCCTGCAATTGGAAGGAATTGACTTTTTTCTTATCTTCTGTTCCATACATATTGACAGCTGTAATAACTGCTACAAATATATTACACGATAGATGCTACAACTCAGCTTTAAAGATGAAATTTTGCTTTTCTGTTAAAATGCATTATTGTAGAACACTGAGAACTTGAACTCTTTCAAAGGTAGCTACTTAAATATGTTCAGACCACTGCACTTACTGACTTACATAAAGTGTGCCCTCTTGTGGTGAAATTATTAGCAAAACATTTCTCTTCTCCCTGATGTATCCCAATGCGGGGACATTGTTTAAAGATTAGAAACATTCTGAATATCCTTGAAATTATCATGCACTTCCATGATATATTTTATTATGCCATCAGACAAGCTCTTCGTATCTGAAAGTATATCAAGCACTAAACAAGTTTAATGTTTTCAGAATGGGGGACCTGTGATCCTCCAGCAACTGCTGTAATTTCCACTTGAGTAATATCTGGAGACCATGTTCAACACTGCATCCATCAATTGACTGTAAACTAATTAAACACCACAAATTCCAAACCAACAGCCCAAGAATATACTTTTTCGGGGAGGAAATGCTCTGTATGAGACAAACCTGCCAACAATTGTTTCACACTTTGCATTTTACTGTAATAGGATTTGCTTTCTGTGTTGGGGAAACCTGGTTTATTTAGTAAGCCATGGATAAATGATGGCTGAGGATATAAGAATCCAATCATGTACACATGTATTATAGGATATAATTTATATTGATTACAGAAAGAATAGATGGAAAGTGATGTGCTAGTATCTGTACTATATGAGGTACGAGTGTTTCATTTCATTAAATAAATTACAATTGTTGAGTTATTAAAAATTGGAGTGAAGGAATCCATAAATGAAGAAGATAGATTAGGCTCAGTAATTTTATTTTTATCCTTTTCTTAACTTTTTACCTATCTTTACATTAAGAATCTGAGATCTACAATAATGGTGTAAAGACAAAACCCTCCTAT